CAGCGACCACCCCTCTTCTTCCTCCTACTCAGTTCCTGGGGCTGCCAGGACAAAGCACCATGACTCAGATGGCTTCAGACATGGGAAACGGGTTCTCTCACAGCCCTGAGGGCTGGAGTCGGCTCTCCTTTTGCTCAAGAGCCTGGCTCTCCCGGAAGCCTGTACTGGAGGGCCTTCCTTGCCTCCTCTCAGCTGCCAGGGTTCGCTGGCAGCATTTGACTGGGTTTGTTCAAACTGATCGACACTGGGAACCTTGAGAGACTCAAGCGCCTCCCACGGGTGTTCCTGGAACGTAAACTCCGCTCTGCGGGGGGCTCCGCGACCTCCCCCGGCACACCGACCATGAGAGAACCGCAGCGCTGGGTGTCAGACGGCTCTGAAGGATCCGGGGCTGCGGCACTGAAGTGAGAGGGCGGCGGGGATTTGATCACAGTCATACTTCCTGCGGGTCATCTGCTTGTCTGCTGGCGTCAAGGACGCACGGGAAAGGCGAGACATCTTCAGTGCATGGGCTGCCGAAGCGCATTGCTCTGAGACTGATTGCCCCAGGGTCCTGCAGAAACGAGACAAACCCGAGGGAGTACCATCGGGGCAGTGTGCGGCTGCATTACGTGGAATTCTGTACCAGGTGCTTCAGACGCTGTAGTTCAGCCCACAAACTGCACCGTCCCACAGGAGTGCTCGGTAGTGCTGACCAAGTATCACAGGCCCAAACCTCCGGGCCACATCAGGGTGAGTAAGTCCCACCCCACTGGCCAGAAATCGCAGGGAACAGCTACCACCACATGCTTCCTGCCATCTCCAAGGGACTGGACCTGACCCGATGTAGTCGCTGCCTCCGGGGCAGCTGAGCAGGCCCTCAGGCACTCTGCCTCTCCACCCTCCAGGTTTGTTCAAGCTCCTGGTGGAAGAGTCTCCCCAGATGTTCTAGGTTTTTTAAAAAGCAGGTACCACCACCCCTAACAGGAGAGGAATGTGATCGTTCTTTGGAAGACTGAGATTTTGTTTTCATATGCAGTGGACAGGCTGGTTCCCAGGTCTCGGCCGTCAGACCCCTTGTCCACTCTTTCAGCACTAATGTGCTACAGGACCCTCTGGTCTGAACTGAGGTCACAGACGATGCAACTTCCCTGTAACTTTTCAAACAAATCTTAATGCCTAAATCGAATCAAAATAAGGTAAAAGCAATCATACTATGTATTTTAATATGTAAATTCTTAGGTATACCAGAAGACAAAAAAGTCACCACACATTTTAAAAAGACTCTCTAGGAACCTTTTGGCCGAACCGCCTTCTTCCAGTAGTTAGCCAACTTGATGGATACAGAGGGAGGGAGGAGAGGCCCCAGTGCATGTTCTCTAGGCCTTTTAGAAAACACGGAGGGGTTCCTGTGGCCACATACAAGCACATCTACAAGAAAGGTGATATTGTAGACATCAAGGGAATGGGAACTGTTCAGAAAGGAATGCCCCACAAATGTTACCATGGCAACACTAGAAGAGTCTACAAAGATACCCAGCATGCTGTTGGCATTGTTGTAAATAAATGAGTTAAGGCCAAGATTCTTCCCAAGAGGATGAATGTGCTTATTGAGCATACTAAGCATTCTAAGAGCAGAGATAGCTTCCTAAAATGAGTGAAGGAAAATGACCAGAAAAAGAAGGGAGCCAAAGAGAAAGGGACCTGGGTTCCACTCAAGTGCCAGCCTGCTCCACCCAGAGAAGCAGACTCTGTGAGAACCCATGGAAAGGAGTCTGAGCCTCTGGAACCTATTCCCTATGAATTCATGGCATGATGGGTGTTAAAAAAATAATCTATGGTATAAATATAAAAAACAGAAAATACCTCCTAGAAGACAGCAGCAATCCCACTGAAAAAGAGCCCCACCATCTGGCAACAGCCCGGGACTGGGCTCTGTGACCTGACCAGGAGTGACACATCCTGGAGGCACAGAAAATTCCAGGCAGACACCAGCCAAGCCAGAACCATCGCCCCTCCAGGCACCTGTGCTGCACAACAGCAAGTGCACTGGCCAGTCAGAGGGAGGGTGAGACAGCTTGGCCAGGAAGTGATGCTGCCGGAGAAGCACAGCAGAGGATGGGAAGACACACGGCTCAGAGACAGCCGGGTCCTGCTGGCTGCAGGTCCAGTGCCTTCCCTGGGCCCATCCACTTCTCTACCTTTCCCTTCAATGTCCTGACTCGGGTTCTGTGCCTTAAAATCAGCATGACCAGATCAGCTCTATGGACGGCATTAGGATCTGCCCAGGGATGCTGGAGCCCACCTGGTGATTCTGGCTCCAATCCGCAGGCCAGCCAGCTCGAAAGATAAACAAGTGCCCAGAATCTGATGGGCTGGAGGAGGAGGAAGGGGACCCTGTGTGCCAGATCTCAGGGAGGGGGTTTCTCTCTCTCCTGTGTACAGGCATGCATGAGCTCTAGAATGAATAAACAAGTAAAAAACAAACAAACAAACAAACATGGTATGGAGACCAACAGGTGGCATGGTGGTTAAGGTGATTAAGGTGATGGATTCCCATGGTTCGAATCCTGGACCTGGTTGCGTGAAAAATCACACCAGGTGTGTGTGTGCATGTCCAAAGTCCTGAGAGGAGAATGGAGGAGAGGAGATTGTGATGTGGTCACCCCCTTCCACAGGAGTGTGATTTCTCACTTTCCTTCTCTCCAGCAAGTGCATGAGCCCTGTGGCAAAAACCTAAAAAAAAAAAAAAAAAAATAAAAAAAAAAAAAAAAAAAAATCCCAGCATGGTCAAAGTTCTGTGCGAACAGGAAATCTCACTGTGTTTTCTTGTTAGGCAGTTGGGAAGCCTGTCCCGCCACTCTCATGCAGTGACTTGCACAGGGTTGCAAGTGTACCACGCTGAGAACAGCAGTAGTTCCTAAAATTTTGTGTCACACATGCAGTGTGGAACTTCAGACAAAAACAGGCAACGCTCCATCCCCTACTAAGGGTGTAAATCTGCATTCAGAGGACAGCGAGGGCCCAGAGGACTCGCAGCTGCTCGGTGCTCCCCGCACACCCTGCAGTGGAGCAGATCAAAGTGCCCCAGGTGAGCCAGCTGGATCCTACCCTTGGCCCCACACACCTCTGGCAACACCCTGCTCCCAGGAGATGCTGAGTCACCTGTGTGGGGACTGCCAAGTAGGGATGAGGTTCTCAGCTGAGAAGGAGCAATAGAACTGGGCAGAACCAGCCCTGGCACGAACCACATGTGAAAACTGTAACAACATGGAGGTACGAGGTCTTGTCTGGGGTTCCATCCTGCCACAGTCTGGAGTCTCCCCTCTGTGAGACATGGGGCTCTCACTGCAGGCGAGGTCTTGCTTCACGTATTCCACCTTTAGATCCACCTTCTCTCCTCCGCCTGTGTCTTCTGAGAGCACGCAGCCCAGATGAGCCAGGGCTAGCTGGGCCCAGATACCCGCCCCTTACAGACTCCATCCTGTGTTGTCCAAGGCAGCATCTGGGTCAGCAGGGTGTGGGCAGCGCCCCCTGCAGCCAGCGAGCTCCAGGTGGTGGTCACAGGCCTCTTCATCAGGTTATAAATACCAGGGGATCTAGGCCGTATTTCATTTTGTTTTTCCTTACCACTCATTCCTGGTTAAGTGCCTTTCTGATTATAACATTCATTTTAAAAATGGGCCCTGGGGCCCAGCTATGGTGGGGCACTGCTAAGATGCTGTGATCCACAAGCTAGGACCATTTGGCAGGCCAAGTTCAATCCCATCTAATTTACAGGCCAGGGTAGGCATCAGTGACCCCTGTGACTCAGAGGATGACGCAAGGAGATCACCATAGCAAGATTCTGTCCTAAAAGTGGAGGGAAGGCAGCAGATGGCATAGTAGTTATGTTGCTAGACTCCCACATGGCTAACCATGGTTCGAGTCCCAGATCCGGTGGCTTAAACTCACACTGGGCGTGTGTGTGTGCATGCCCAAGATCCCAGGAGAATGGAAGAGAAGGGATTGCAGCATGGCCATCCCTTGGGGGGTGATTTCTCACTTTCCCTCTCACTGTCTCTCCTGTCTCTCTCCCCCTCTCTCTCTCTGGTGAGCACACATACCCTAAGGCAAAAACCTCTACAAAAAAAAAAGGAAAAAGGAGGGGGTGCGGAAAGACTCCCCTGAATGTCTGACCCACTGGGAGGTTTACACATTGCCATGAATTGAACTGTGCTCCCTACAGTTCATACAGTGAAGGCTTCACCCACGGCGTCCAGAACGGGCCGATCTGGAAAGAGGGTGTTTGCAGACGTGATTGGCTAAGATGCGGCCAGACTGCGGTAGGGTGGGCTCTGACTTAAAACAACGGTGTCCTTAGCAAAAATTTGCACACAGACCTGCCTTATGAAGATGAAGTCATTCAAGTCGTGGTTCTTGTAATGGCAGCCCTAGAAACCAATCCACTTATCTAAACAGATGTTTTAATTTAAATGCTGGCCACCTAATAAATGATAACAAATTACTAATATTTAATAACAAGATCCATCATGAGGGGCATTTTTCATCACAATTCTGTTTTTTGTTTTGTTTTGTTTTTTAAGAATTTTGCCATAGGGCATGTGCACTTGCCAGAGAAACAGTGAGAGACTGAGAGGGAAAGTGAGAAATCACCCCCAGGGGATGGCATTCTGCAATCCCTTCTCCAGTCTGCACCTGGGATTTTGGGCACACACGCACATGTGCCTGATGTGAGTTCCAAGCCACCAGGGGTATGGGAGTCTCTCACCTCAATCACCACACCGCCTGCTGGCCCTTCCTCACAATTCTTATAGCCTGTAACTTAAAAGGAAGAGAAAGCACTTTCCACCAGGAGATCAGATTTCTACAATCCGATTCTCTTCAAAACATCCCAGAAGCCCCGACTTGCCCACGAGCGCACTGAACAGAGGCAGAGCAGAGTTTCCAGCTGCTGTTCTATTGCTGAGGACCCCTGGGCCAGAAGAGTTGCCCTGCCTGCGTCAGGTTACACGTCAGACCCTTCCCTATCTCTCACCCTCTGTTCCCCGATTTCCTCAGGACAGTCGATGGTGACAGGGGTCAGCCCCGTATCAGTTCCCCAGGTGTCTAACCAGCTAATTTGGCACATAGCACAAGTTTGGCACTTATTAACTATTTATTATCGCATGCTTTATTCTTCTGGTGACTGATAATTATTTTAAAAATTAGTTTCCGGGACCAGCAGTTAGCGTAATGGCTATGTCACAGGACTCCCATGTAGTCGACCGCGGTTCGCGTCCCAGACCAGGTGGCTTAAAACTCACACCAGGCGCGTGTGTGGTGCGTGCCCAAGATCCCAAGAGGAGAAAGGAGGAGAAGGGATTGCGGCGTGGCCATCCCCCCTGGGGGGTGATTTCTCACTTTCTGTCTCTGTCTGTCTGGCGAGCGCACGCGCCCTATAGCAAAAAAAATAAAAACTCTCAAAAAAAAAAAAATTAGGTTCCGAGGCTGGTCTCGTGATGAAACAGGCCCATAGCAGAGTAAGCCAGATAGCACATGGTCTGTCTGGGCTCAAGTCCTCAGCCGTCAGCTTGAGAAACACGTTGGGCCTGTGTATGTGTGCCCAGGATGCAGAGGATGGACTGCTGGAGGGAAAAGATGGCAGTCGGTGTGAGCACCACTGAGGGGAGCTTAGAAGAATTAGGTTCCAGGGCCACTGCAGCTTGCATGATTTTGAGAAACTGTTTCTAGAAGGGCTTTCTGGTCCTTCAAAAACACAGCTCAGACAGAGCCAGCTCCCTGGTGTAGAGGGGATGAGCTGCTCGAGAGAAGCTGGGTCCCAAGTGGCACCTGTGGTCCAAATTCCCCACCTGGCTGGCCCGAAACTCACCAGACATGTGTGGAGCCCCCCAGGTCATCTGCTGGCCAAGGGGCTGGAGGGAGGGCTCCCGGCAGTCCAGACCTGTGGAGGGTGCTCTCACACACTCTTTATCATGAGTAAAGAAAGAAGTAGCTCCGCTAGTTCTTTAACAGCAACAGAAAATCATCTTAATATTTTGGTGACAAAGTATGCCAAGTTATGACATGAACCTTGTTTATTGCACAATGCTTTGGCTCGCTTAGGACCAGTCCTTACAGGCAGGCCTCCAGGGCTCACACAGCACAAACTGGACCACCTTCCTGGGCTCAGCTCACACAAGACTCCAAGCGGTGGCGGCAAGACAGGTGCTCCTCCAGCCTTCCAGTTCCAAGGGCAGGGGTTACAGTGAGGGCTTCCCCATCTGAGTGCCAAACACTGGCACGGTCCTGGGCGATCCAGGACTCCCTTGGAGAGGCAGAGGCTGAGAGAGCCCTGCCTGCTGCACTGGGTAGAACAAGGTGCCACATGCTTACAGCTGCTCGAGCTCCGGCCCTCGCGCTGACCGAGCAGCGATTAGCAAACGTTCAACTGTCCTTTGTACATTTGGCTCAGTAAGGAGCATGTGAACTTTTTTCTGGGGACAGAGTTTGGAAACGGAGAAACCAACAGGACAACAAAACGGCAACCACACTTCACTAACGAACAAAGCCCAGTCCACAATTCCTCCAGGGAGGGCCTAAGCCTCGGAAGGTCTGGGCTCTGAGACTTTGTCACCAAAGGCTTTTGTCATATGGAGTAGTGCTAGAGGCCTCAGCTGACATTTGTCAGACTAAGAAAAGCCATTTTTCCTTCCAAGGCTTATGTAGCACGTTGCCATCAGGCTCGGTCCTCCCCTTGGCCCAGGAACTATGGGGGTGACAGGGGTGGTTCCCAGGAAAGACTCGCAAACTCGTCTGCTGATTCTTCTTCTCCCATAAAAGCAGGCGCTTCCATCTGATGAAGGATGATGTGTTAGTACTCCTGAATTACTAATATGACTTCAACTTGAGCCTGCATTTATTTAGGGAAAAAGAAACCAGTTGGGCCGCACAAACGAGCAGGAGCACTCAGTACTTTAAAGCTGTGGGTTCTAGCCTGGAAACACTGCCTGCAGCCCACCAAACCGGCTCGGATACCTTGCCACACCCAGACCCCTTCAAGCTATCCCCCAATACCGACTTAAAGTTAAAAATATGCAAACACCTGCTTGCAACTGGAGGCCCCTCCAATCCCCTCTGGTAAGTCCGCAGAAAGGCCTTCTCTGGAGGCCAGGCTGGTGCTCAGAATGTCCACCTCAGAGGTGCCAGCAGCTGGAGCCGCTGTCTGCTCCCAAAGGGCTCTGGCCCTCGCTTGCTCCCATCTGCCTGTCTTCGGGTGATCAGCCACACAGTTAAAGGGGTTCCAGTGCATTCTAAAAAATAGGGATACCTGACAGTCAACCTGAAATCACAAAAGCCCGAGAGGAAATTTATCCACACCATTGGGTTAATATTTAATAAGGCTGAAATCCCATCAGGACTGCTTTACCTTTAAAAAAAAAAAAAAAAAGAAAAATAGACCTTCTGTAATGCTGAATAAAAGGGAGCAGGCAACCGAAGGGGGACACCAAGGAGGGACAGCCCTGAGGTAAAAGGTTCGCTCTGGTGAGAATAGCTTTACCAGGAGAGGATGAAAGGGAGATTGAAAAACCTAGGGAGGGGGCCGCATCACTCTCTCTCTCTCTCTTTTTCTCCTTCTCTTCCCTCCTGTGAGCACTCACATCCTATAGCAAACTAAAAACAAAACAAAACAAAACAAAACAAAACAAAACAGAAAACTACAGGGAGCCAGCCAAGAATAGGGGTGATTCTCAGCAGAGAAAATTCTGAAAAATAAAGAAAAACAGGAAGAGTCAGTGGAGACAGAGTATAAAGATTATTCCATGGTTTCCTCCAAAAATTCCGTGATATGGGGCTGACAGGGGACATTGTGGTTACGGCGCTGGACTCCCACATGGCTAACTGCAATTTGAGTCCCAGACCTGGCAGCTCACTCTCTTACCTTCTCACTCTCTTTCTCTCCCTATCTCTCTGGTAAAAATTTTAAAAATAATAATGATTATGAATAAAATTAAATAATTCTTTTAAAGAAGATTCTACAATATATGAAAACATAAACCAAAAGCACTTTGCTGCTGTAAATCATATTTTCTGGGAATTCACACCCCTCAGTACCCAGGGGTAAACCAGTGACCACCCCTGTTCCAGAAGGGAGAGCTGCTTTCACTAGCTCCGGCTGGTTCTCAGTACCCTTCAACACTAAAATAATATTTCCTCAGAAGGAGGGTGTCACTCTGGGGTCCCTAAAACCAATAGACTTTGGATAAAAGGAAGGCCATTAGGCCCTGGGCATGTTGTCAAGAATGCGAACATTTCCAGGTCTGGGGCAGGCGTGCTGAAGTCACGAGATATCGCAACTCTGCAGAGATAAAGAATAACTTAGCAGAAGTTATCAAAGTCAGGTCCCAAGCATAGAGCAGCCCTGACCTCCGAGTGAGTAACCAGCCCTGCCTGGCCCTCCGGGTGTGTGCTTCTGATAACCTTCCACTGCCCTCACTCTCTTCTGGGCACACTCCAAGGTCTCTGCGCTAGTGTGGCCTTCTGCAGTGTTTCGTAAGCCATCGGGGCCAGGTGTGCAGAGAATACCAGAACTTTCTCAGAGGATGTCATCCTCTGCTACAGGTCATGCTCAGAAACTTCTGGAGTCTACAGGCACCTATGCTCCAAGTATATAAAACTCAGAATAAGTCTCTGGCCTGTGTGTCTCAAAACTCCCTGTCCCTAAAGGCAGAGAAGCAGTTTGCAGAGTTCTGAAGTGCTGCCTTGGGTGTGACGACATCGCCAGGGCTTTGGGCCAGAGTGATATTCAGTGGTGTTTGAGTTAGAATAATCCAATGATGCTGGGAAAAAGAGATCAGAAACAGAGATTACAGGTAGGAGACCAGGTAAGGGATTTTAGTCATTGCTTAGTGTACTTCTTCAGTCAACAAACACCTCCTGTGTCCCAGGAATTGCACACGGCTCTGAGAATACAGTGCAGGACAGAAACAACGGCCCGGGCAAATCCAGGTAAGGCCGGTTAGAGCAAGCACCGTGGCCATATTCAGAGGGAAGGGCTGCAGGCCTGGACTGAACTTTGAGGTATTACGAGGTCACGTGGAGATCTGCTGTTTAACTTTGTAAGGAACTGCCATACTGTTTCCACAAAGATCGCACCATCTTGTATTTCCACCACCAATGCACAAGGTTACAATTTCTCGACGTCTTTGTCAATATTTGTGTCTGACGTCTTGATTGCAGCCTCGGTGGGTGTGACCTGCCATCTCAGGGCCGTTTGATCTGCATTTCCCTGATGAGTAATGATGTTACTGTACTAATGATGTGGACCACCCGTTTGTGTGTTTTCAGTGGAGGACTGTCTGTTCAGATCTTTTGCCCGTTTTTAATTGAGCTGTCTTTTATTGAGATGTACGAGTTCTGTGTTCCTGATACAAGTCCCCTCGATACATGACTGGCACGTGTCCCCTTCCACTCTGGGTGTTCCTTTCACTTACTTGATGATGTCCTTTGAAACACAAAAGTTTTTTTTTTATTTTAATAAAGTTCAATTTGTCTAGTTCTTCTTTTGTTTTTGCATGATATTACCCAAGAAACTATTGCCAAATACAAAGTGATAAAGATATATGTTTATGTGTTCTTCCAGGAGAATTATGGTCTTTTCTTGTGTTCTTGAACTGGTGAACTGAGAAAATGAATGTGACAGTAAAATGAATGTGAAATATTATTTATAGTAACATTAAATTTTTCCATCTGACAACTCTCAAATGCACTCCCGCTAAATAGCTCTTGACTTATAAAACCTGACAAGCATTATCATAAAGGTGAAACAAACTCAGTTTAGCAATATAACATTAGGATAATGAAACAAGTGTTCTCAGTTACTGAAGGTTCTGTGCAGGATAAATGTCACTGAAAATCAGCATGTGAATTTCAACTACTGCTAGGACTTCCAATTATCTAGTTATTTCCTGAATTTTCTGATGGTTCCAAAAAAATTTATATATGTGTGTATATATATGTGTATTTATATGTATGTTGTATGCATACCTACATGTGTCTATATGTATATGTATGTGTATGTATACATGTGTGTATGTATTTGTGTGTATGTGTACATATATGTATATGTTATATGGAGGTTGTGTGTATGTGTATACATATAACCTCAAAGACCTGGGCCAGAGCGTGACAGCAGAATGGACTTCCAGCGTGGCCCCAGCCCACCCTCCCTTCACAACTCTGACCCCATCCTGCTCTGCAGAGGAGCCAGGTGCACCCATGGGACACCCTCATGCATGCCCAGACAAGCCTCTCCTTCCTGAAGACCAGCACCCTCACCACCCTGTGGGCCCTGGCCGCACATACCCTCGGGAAGAGAGCAGATGGAGGAGGCCCACCCAGACCTAAGGATGGTCGGGGGGGCTTCGATGGCCAGGCAGGAAACCCGCCCAGGGCAGGCTTGACCTGTTCATGCAAGGTCTTTGGGGGAGGGGAGTACACAGGCTCCAGGCAGGCATGAACCCTGGGCTCATGGGGACTCGGCTAGGAGTCAGAGGGGGACTACAGTGGTAATTACCTCTCTTGTTGGGGTCCCAGGGAAGTGCCACTAGCGAATTATGTGAACTGGAAAGTGGGATTCCGAAAGGGTAAGTAGTTTGCTCAAGGTCACACTTCTAGTAAGCAGTAGAGCCTGGTCTCCAACCATCATCCCGACCCCAAAGCCTTCCTTTCTGCCCGACCACGATCAACCATGCTTTAGTACAGCAGATGTCTTCCTGAGAGAGGACTGTTCCCGTTATGCCTGCTTTTATACCATCAAAGGTGCCTTAACTTTATTTAAAAATGGTATTTCAGACGTAGTGTTTCTAACTCAGTTCCCAGCTCAAGAATAAATTATCTCAAAAAATAAATCGAAGACTGCTATAGCCACAGAAAATGTTAAATACAACTCACAATTCAGTTTCCATTCAAACCTCTTTTTAACCTAGTACTTCCCTGAGAGAGGGAGAGAGAGAGAGAATGTGTGAGAGAGAATTCCTCGCTGGGTCCAAAGAGCGCAGTCTGCCCCAGCTTTAGCCAGCCTATCACAGGTACGTGTGCACTCAGGGAGTTTCGAGACTCGGACCAGGAACCTTCCATGTGCGATTGCCTCACAGAGCATCGCGTTTTACCACAGTACGCTGCCTGGCCCCTCAACACAAAATCTGAATGCTTTCTATAAGCCAGGTTTCATGTTGACACTCTTGGCTGACAATCCAAATTCAAATAAAAAGCAACTTCTGTGATTTTTGAAAGAAAAGCATTCAGACAGCCCGATGTTAAAAACAAGCATGTAGCAATAACCTCAATGTGTACTATGTCTAAAACTTATGTGAACTTCATGCTGTGGCCAAACCATGGAGATAGGACGTGGAATGTGTGTGAGAGAGAAAGAGAGTCGGAGACAGGGCACCCAGCACAGACCAGCAGTCCACACATCCCGTTTAAACCCTGGAAGTCGATTCCATTACCACTGCCCATGTCCACAGCCCTCAGGAAGGAATCCACTAGAACTTCCACTAGATGCTGACCAGACGCCGCCTGTAGGAAGGAGGGGCCTGCTCCAAGCTCGGCCCTGGCATGTCCCCTCAGCAGGGCCATGCTAGCACGTGTGAGAAGCATGTGCATCCAGTCCCTGGGGGCTGGTCCCAGGAGCGGGGAGATTGCCCCAGCCCCCAGGTGACTTTACTGGGCACTAGATGTTAGGAATGCACACAGAGAAATGATAGCTTTATAAAATATTTAGCTTCTCCTAATAGAAAGCAGTAGAGGAAAAAAAGTACATTATCTCTTCTTGAGATTCCGGCTGTACAGACTCTAAGTGAAGTACGATACCGTTTCTTTCTCCTTTCTTATGCCCGTTTTCCCACAGCACATGAAGAAACAGACTGCCCAGTCAGCAAATTGGGTAGTCAGTGATAAAAGTGCCCAAATTCAATTGTTTCTTACAGTTCTTAAAAACAAACAGATGCTGACTAGCCTGGAGACGCGGTAGCAGTCGGCAGCTAACTCAGTGGCAGTGCTGGAAGCCACGCGGCCCACTGAGGGTTTGGATCCCCTGGTCAGTTTGAAAACACTCTGGGTGCATGTGCAGGTGTCCAGGATCCTGAGGTACTGGAGAGCCAGGCTAAGGGGACTGTGGTGTGATGAAACCCTGTTAAGGGTGCATCTATCACGTAGGAGTGTGTGAACTATCACGAATAAACTTTATAAATAAATCAGCAGCTGTTATTGACAGCTTCTTAAAAGTGATCCACAAATTGTTTTGATACCATCTAGGACAGAAGTCCCCAAACCCAGACCACAAGCCATTACAACACAGCCAGAGGAGAGCGGCCAGCTAGCCAGTGAAGCTTCACCTGCAGCCTAGGCTCCGCCTCCTGTCGGGTCAGCAGCGGCATCAGCGTCTCCTAGGAGCCCCCAGGTAGGACTCCTCTAGCTGCAGGAAGACAAGCTCAGGGCTCCCTGATTCTCCATTATGGTGAGCTGCATAATTATCTCAGCCTATATTGTAAAGTAATAATACAAATGACATGCACGGTACATCTAATGTGCTTGTCATCCCCAAACCATTCCTTCCACCCCACCATGGTCTGCGGAAAAATTATCTTCCATAAAATTGGTCCCTGGAGCCAAGATGTTGGGGAACGGTGGTCTAGGACATGACACATCCACTTCATGTCATAGCTGATTTAGGAGCAACGTTTTGAAAAGTACTAAATTTGAAGCTACCACAACCTAAAAAATGGAAATATTTCCACAGGTCTCTTAACAAGGGCTATAATTCATTTTTAATACAAATGAGCTCAATTCCAGGACACAGCTCTTTGTTCCTCCATTTTGAATCTTCATTCCACATTAGCACGTTCTCAGTGATGCCAGAGAAAGAAATGGAGTGGTGTGCGGTCAAGGGGGGAGAGGCAGCTGCCAGGACAGGAAACCACCCGGCTCAGGCTGATCCCCACCTGGTCACCCTGGCAGGAACTCACGGTGGGAATGCCTTCCTTGAGATTCCAGTGTGTCCTAGGACTCCGTTTAGAGCTGCCTTGTAATTCTTCTGACCTTGCTTTGTGCAAATGCTGTGCAGTCAGCGCTCCAGACCTGCAGGTGCTGTATCTGCTGTTCCCATGGCTAGGTGCTCCCAGGAAGCTGCAGAGGCCATCCCTGCAGTGCACCTGGCCCAAGCACCCCTAATGGGGAGGCAGGGTGGTGCGTTCACCCACGGGGCGATGGAACGGCCACGACAAGACGCTGATTACAGAATGCGCTAGTAGCAAGGGCCAACTTCCTGCCTTAACCCCTTTGATGTCCTCCATGTTTCCCAGACACAACTGTCATAATAATGCCAACTTGGATGTCTTGGAAGGGAAAATGAGACGTTTACCTGGAAATCCTGGATATGTAAGCATCAAAAGCTGTATCAAGATCTTCAGGATTACTTTGAGTGAGCCGCTGACCGACGCATGATTAACAGTAGGAGAGCACATCTGAGGGCAGAGCCCACCGACTCTTCATACAGAGTGGATGCGTGTATGTGGATGCGCAGAAAATCAGAACCCTGCTGAAGTCCACTGGATGAGGCACGACTTTGTTCCAGGCATGTGTTCATTAAAATCTGAAAAAAGATTCCCAGGCAAGATGTCTCCCTCTGTGATATAGCCACTCTTCCCTACCTCTGCCCCAACATTCACTCAGACTTTAATTTCAGTGACCAAAAAGAGGCAAAGAGTGATGCATGCCACTGATTAGAAAAATATATACAACAACCACAAAATTCTTTGCCAATATGTTTCATTATTTCTAAAAAACCCACTGCTTATCGGTCAGCTACCAAACCTCCAACAGAAACATCACAGTCACAGCTAACCACAAAGTCATGTACAGCCTCGGGAATTCATCCTTCAAGTTTCTCCTTTTAAAGGAAAAAAACAAGCACGAGTAATAATAATGCACAAGACACAGAATAGCAAATGCAAAGTAAGATAACTGACTCGATCCATTAGAGCTCAGTGAGGGAATAGGATTCCTAGCCACTAAATTTCTTCGAAAACCAGACTCCCAATATTCCACAATCTTCTTCAAGTCTGTTTTTACAAATTATGGAATTGACATTTCTTTGGAAGCGTACATAAATAGATTTTACCTCTGAATGAGAAACTCATAGAACTTTAAAACCTAAGGCTACTCTCTAGCCTAGTGGGTAAGGGAGCCAGATTTCAGATGACAGACTGCAGTTCAAATCCTGGCCATGGTGTCTTCAGTAGAACAATTATTAGGAGCCTTTATCATTTGGGGGCGTCTCTTTATTTCTTTAAAAGGAAACTATTAAACTATTAGACACTAGGAACACACAATTCTTGGTTCTTCAACTAGGCACAAGCAATCCAAAGCTGCTCCTGCTAAGTGGAATCACGGGGACTACTTGGGTCTGAGATCAGCATATTCTAAACAGCAAAGACAACTGTATACAAATGGACAGGCACACATTCTCTGTTTTAAAAGCCAGATATATTTTAAAAGGACCGTGCTTATAATAAGTAAATTACATAGTGAAAAAACATCAATGATGTCTCATCAATGATGAATGAAAAGGCACACTTGAAAGGTTCAAGAGTAGAAAGAACAGTTCTTTTTGTTTTGTTTCTAATGAAGGAGGAAAGGGGAAAGACATATTAAAAGCATTTTTCAGGTGAAGTTTTCTGTCAGCTGAAGTAGTGAACACTGGCTTCTAGTCTCCCTTGTCCAAAGCAGTCTCTTCTCGCACTGGCTTCTGAGAAGGTACTAGTCTTCAGCCACGTAGATGCGGTACATCAGGGCGACAGCCAGTGCGGAGACAGCAGGGATCAGCCAGTTGGTCCACCAGCTGGAAAGACACAATGACCAATGATGCTCACACGGTATCAATGCAGGGACTCGAACCTCTGCTCCTTCTCATAGGAAATTATCGTGGTGTGTTTTCACCTCTATAACTACGATGGTTTGGATTTGCTGTGTCCCCCAGAGGTTCATGTGTGGGAAGCCTGCTCCCAGTGAAATGCTGCTGAGAGTGCGGGGCCTGTAGGGCAGTGAGTACACCACGGGCACTGTCCTCAAGAACAGGTGAATGCCATCGCCAGGGAGAAAGGAGTTCTTGCTCTCATGGGAACAAGTCAGTCGCCACAAGAGTGGGTTATAAAAGGAAAATCGTTGTTATAAAAGGAAGAGGACCCTGCGGGTCTCTCTGTCTCCCATGCACCTGCCTTCCTCTGCTTCTGCTGGGCAGCAGTAGCACAGAGGCAGCCAATGCTGGCCCCACGCCTTTGGACTTTGCAGCCGCCAGCATCATGAGCCACA